AAAGAGTGTCTCCCAGCACTGCAGCCTCTTCCTTGAGGGCAGGTCTTGCAGGGAGAGGCTGTAGCCCTTTGGTGAGACGAGACCTTGAGCTGTGGAACAGGCAAGTAGGGAGGAAGGAGGGAGATTTTACTCTGTTCAGTAGCTTTGAAACCTGGTGCTGAATGCGTTTAGGAATGTGAGACTTGCTTTTCACTCCCTGTTATAACGGTGTGCTGATATAACAGTGATTCGTGGTTTACCTACTGTGAGAGTACAGAAACTTTAGGTTCATATATATGGTCCTAGTGTACACAGCTGACTAAATGAGTTTGATTTCAGGGAGAGTATATCTTCTGTAGCGCAAATTCTTGTATCTATGAAAACTTTCCTTCTTACATGAGAGCAGTCAAGTCCCATAGTATGGAACATATATATTGAAATTACAGTGAAGCAGGAAAAAATACCGTAGTCCCTTTGCAAGAATGACATAGATGTTCATGAAGTGTTCCCTTTCCCAGTGTACAGTCACAGAGTGTCAGCAAGGTAGTAATTAGCCCAAGATGCCACACAAAAAGGGGATTGTTTAATCACAACCAAAATTATCCGTATTTGGGAATAAATTGTGCCTGTTCATAGCAGAACGGGAGGACAGGATGTTGTTCTGCCTTTGCACTCTTACCCCGCTTCTGAAATGACTCCTTCCCTTTTCCTGCAATATGCTAGTTTTAGGAAGTACACTTCTGGAAGATGCTTTTTCTGTCCTGGTCACATCTTTGTGATAAACCACAAATGGTTCATGGCGGTAATCCCATTGCAACTTTTTAGACATTGCTTTGATAGACACATGCTCTATTAGCACTTTAGATTGTGCTGAGTTAACTGTTCGTTTGTATGACACTCTTTTAACATTCTGCTTCTAGTAATACAGAAATATTTTTTTTTGATATATAATCCCTTTAATCAGGAGATAGCCATTCTAAATTATGTTGGCACATTATTTTTGTTCATGTTTTATTACAAAACATATTGCAAGAATGAAATGAAATAGTATAGCTAGTTATGTACAATTTTCTTATTACCGTTTGGAGGTAGTTAATGTAACTCACAAACAGAGTTTCCACTCTGTTATAAGAGGAGTGTTTCCGCTCTTTCCTGTAAAGTAGAAATTATGCCTATAAGAATAGGACAAGCAGTAATGGGCTAAATTGGAGAAAGTCCAGCTCATGTTAAAGAAAAAATAAATTATTTTAGGAGTTATCTACCCAAATAGCTTATAGGGATACTGAAATCTCCGTCAACTGAGATTTTTAAGAACTTGTTAAATGTTTTTAAACATATATTTGTCTAAGTATAATTGATTCTCCCATAGAACACACGGATGGACTAATTACTTTTTTCAGTACAGTTTTGTCTTGTTTTGTTAGTCTTGCACAGTCTTAAGAATTTAATGTTTTTATTTACCTTGCTATGAATGACATCTCAGCTATTTTTTTCTTTTTCATTTTTAGATGCAGACATCAGTGAGTCTGGTATTTCTGTTAGAAGCGCTGGTTCAGCTCATTCTATGACCAGCCAAGGTGAGCGAAAGAGGAGGACACTTCCACAGCTTCCCAAAGAGGAGAAAGCGAATGAAAGCTCAAAAGCAAAAACTTCATCTCATCAGAGATCAGAAATAGGTGAAAAGCAAGACACTGAACTTCAGGAGAAAGAAACTCCAGCTCGTGCCTCAGATGCTGACAGCAGAATTATAGCTAAGTCAAGCAGAACAATGAATGGTCTTTCACCCAAAGCTACTGGAGACAAAATTTTTTCTTTCCCCAGCTCTTCCAGTAAAGAGAGAGTTGAAATTGGCAGAGAAACTTCAGTGGTGAAACAAGCTTTAGCAAAAATTCAACAAGAAAGAAAGGAGCAAGGACACTGGACACCCACAAAATTATCCTCTACAAAAGCTGCTGCAAACCAGGTTGAGAAAGGTAGGGAGGAGATGACTGTGTCACCCAAAACTTTGGATAATCAAGACAAAGCTCCTGGACACGTTACAGATAAAGTAGAAATGAAGGTGGCACAGCGTGAGGGAAAAAGAAGAAAAAATGAGGAAACTGTTAAAGGACAAAGTCCTAAAGCACCTGGAGGAGAAAAAAAGGAATCTTCAAAACCATTAGTGAGGCAAGGTAGCTTTACTATAGATAAGCCTAGCACAAATATACCTATAGAACTTATTCCTCACATTAATAAGCAAAGTGGATCTGCTGCCCCTTTAGCATCTGCAAGCAGGATACGTGACAGAAGTGATTCAATGGACACTGATTCCAGTCTAGATACAACCCTCATTTTAAAAGACACAGAAGCTGTAATGGCTTTCCTTGAAGCTAAATTGCGTGAAGAAAATAAAACTGATGAAGGTCCTGATACTCCTAGCTATAACAGAGATAATTCCATATCACCAGAATCAGACGTAGATACAGCCAGCACAATCAGTCTCGTTACTGGTGACACTGAGAGAAAATCCACACAGAAGCGGAAGAGCTTTACAGCCTTGTATAAAGATAGATGTTCCTCTGGTTCCCCTTCAAAGGATGTTTTAAAATCTTCTGCAACAAGTGCCAGAGAAAAGATGGAAAAGAAAACTAAAACTCGATCTTCAGATGGTGGCTCTAGAGCTGATGCTCGCAAAACTGTACAGTCCAGTGGAAGAATGAGACAACCATCAGTAGATTTGACAGATGATGACCAAACATCTAGCGTACCGCATTCTGCCATTTCTGATATCTTATCATCTGACCAGGAAACCTACTCTGGCAAATCACATGGAAGAGTTCCTTTTGCCTCAGCAGATGAACTTTTACATTCCAAAATGGAAGGAAAGTCAGCGAAATCAAAAACCTCTCCTGTTGCACTTGGGCAATCTAGTAAATCTACTACTCTTCCAAGACCTCGTCCTACAAGAACTTCTCTCTTGCGCAGAGCACGGCTTGGTGAAGCCTCAGATAGCGAGCTTGCTGATGCTGATAAGGCATCAGTGGCTTCTGAAGTGTCCACTACAAGTTCTACATCCAAACCTCCATCAGGGAGGAGAAGTATTTCCAGAATAGACTTACTTGCTCAACCTCGCAGAACTCGACTTGGCTCTTTATCAGCACGTAGTGATTCTGAAGCAACCGTAACTAGAAGCACTGCTTCATCTCGTACTCCAGAAGCTATTATCAGAAGTGGTGCAAGGTTAATATCAACAGGAGATAGTAGTAAAATCTCTGCTAGAACTCGAGCCAATAGCATTTCTCGACTTTCAGACTCAAAATCCAAATCTTTGGCTTCAGCTCATAATTCTCCCTCAGGTATGTGAGATTATTTGTGCTAGTCTCATACTAGATGTTTTTCACATGTGGAATTTTTTTTTTAAGTTTTTCTTTAAGGAACCGTTTTTATGAAACATTTGTTGAGTTTCAGTTGATGCGGTCTTTTTCTTTGGAGGAAGAGGCTTCCTTGGCAGGTCTTGTGGATGTTTCTCTCTTAAAATCACAAAGACAAGAATTTGTAATCGTTGAACTGTTTGGATGTTTTTTTTAACTGGAAACCAGTAACAAAGAATTGCATTGAAGCAGTCAGATGTGGCAGCACTGATTTGCATTAGTATAAAAGCTGAGCAGAGATCTCTTTGCTCAGGTTATAGTAGTGGAAGTTCAGAAGGTCAGCAGCACTTCTTACTGCATAGATGATATAATATTTATTTGTAAGGCAGGCTTGTAAATATACTGAACAGCAAGTGTTCCCTGAGGTATACCCTGAGCACCTGTAGGATAATGATATTTATAATTTAAGATTAGCTTCCAGAACTACAAAAATTAGATTTTTTTGATAAGAACGGTAAAGTAACAAAGGGAAAACTGTAACACAAATGGCACCTAACTAAATATCATAAAGTAGTTTATATTAAAATGTTTGCCTTGCCTTGGAGTACTTTCTGTTCTCTGTTCCGATTCATTATGGTTTATGAGTTCATTATGATTTCCAAATCATGTTGATCTTCTTTTGCGTGGTAGTTCCTTTACTATAATATTATGTATCATGGTAAAAGAAATGTATAATTGACCAATTTTAGCCGACTATTCTGTTAGAAGTTAACATCACAGTTTAAGTGCAAGGAGTGTGAAAGGCTGCTAGGTTTTTTCCAACAGCAATATTAAATCAGCCCAAATGAAAATGTGGTGATTCTGAATAAGTCAGCTTTCATGTGGAATTAATATCCAGATTTGATATAAACATCTATGATGCTTACATTTATTTTAGGCAAAAATCTGAAAGCAATTAATAAATCAGATGCTTTCAAAATAAAATCATGGCTTAATGAATCAATCAAGTCTTGTTACTATGTAAGTAAAGAATATTCTTACTACAGCTTAGGGTTTGAACTTCCAGATTTTATCTGTGTCTATAAGCTTATTGTATAATTTTTTTACTGGACTATTTAGAATATACTTTAGGAAAATCTGAATTGCTTTAAAAGTGGTGTAATCTTCTAGTATTGATAGGAGTGTGTATATAGGCCCCTACTCAGTACATCCCCATTTTTCCATTAGCATCTTATAAAATGATGCTAATAACTGCCCAACACATCAAGTTGTTATTTCTTATTTTAACCTTAGATAAATGTATTTAAAACATCTTTGAATAGAATGTGTTACTTGCATGCAATATGTAAAAAGGTCATGTAGCAGAAACTTTTAGATCCAAAGCGTGTATTTCCTGAATTCAAATTTGTTTGTAGAAAAGTCAACAAATCACTTAATTTTAACACTTTTGGAAATTAGTAATGAAGTGCCTGACAAAAGTGCCTCAACTGTGTTTGAATTTGTTTTACTTCAAGCACATTTAGTCAAGTTAAGTGTGACCATTTTCTTGTCTCCCTGGGCCTGGAAAAGACTGGACAATGAATGAGCACTACCAATATAGGGTTTGGTTGGTTTTTTTCTTTACCGTAAGACTGGTTGCTATCAAAGCATTAAAAATTTTCCATGGGTCTTTTCGTGAAATTTCAGTTAATGTTACCACTTGTAGATGACTAAACATTGGCAGCAGAATCTTGCTTCTTAAATCCAGCCTACCAAAGAGAGAATTATTTCCACATTTCCCAAATCTTCTTGAATGTTCAGACATACATGCCTGTAAAAATGTGGCAAAAAAAGCTGTAGTCTCTCAATTTTTTATTGCTTTGTACTTCATGTGGCTGAATTGCAGTGTAATAGCATTAAAATTGTCAAAGCTGCCACCAAGTCCATAATTTCAAGAAGCTTTTTTAAGCCTTGATACAGTTAGGTATTGCTTACTTTTAAATGAAAGAGCAAGCAGATAAATGGAACATCTTGGATGAGAATTACAGCATTAAAGTAATTACCAGGGTGTTTCTGCTGTAGGAGGCTTGATAACTGACAACACTGTGAAGACATGTGAAGCAGAATTAGTAATTTTATAGCACAAGCAATAAAAGATTTAATCAAGGCACTGAATCATCAAACAGTAGAGTGATCAATAAAAACAGAGAAGACCAAAGGCCTTTCTTTTCACAATTGTGGATGAAAATTGAAGATGATGTTTCAGAAGGAGCTGAGTATTGAGAAAATGTACAACAGGATCAGACCTAGTGCAAAAGTGCTAAGCTGCAACTGTAAAATTGATGAGTCAGAATAGAGAGACCCTGAGCAACTAGTTGTGTTTGACAGCTCTGCTGGCTTGCTGACCTAGCTGTCATTGCAAATAACCAGCGGATAGGTTGATCAAAGCTCTTGAGGTATTTCTGAAAGGGGGAAAAAAAAAAAAAAAAAAAAAGGAAAAAAAAAAAAGCAAAAAGCTGAAGAATGAAGAGAGAACAACCCTTTGAAATGGGTGAACCTTGAGGAGGCAATGCATCAACGAGAGCAGAGTATTTTATTAGGGATATGCTTAATAAGGTCTATCCTCAGATACCAGATAAGCTGGTAATATATAAACAACACTTCAAGGCCTTAAGATTTAATGGTCTTAAAAAATGTAGAGGGGGTTTTATGGTATTATGTACACAGTTGTTATTGATGTCATTTCAGTTAGTATCTCTGAAATGTTTATACTTTTACAAAATTCATTGTTTTCTGTTGAATGTATAATTTAAGAACCTTTTCCTAAAAAGTGTGGGTGGAAAAAGGATCGAAGACTAGTCTCATCAATATATTTTATTTAAGTAAATGCTTCTAATCTGAATGTGTTAATACAAATTAACATGATAAAACACTATTTTGTACACAGAGAAATCCAAGCTTCTCCCAGACCCAGATCCTGATGTTGAAACTTACGGTGGTAGAGTACTAGAAATCAAATCTGTTTCTGATATTTCACTTCTCATCCAATTTTTAGTTTTTAAATATATGATTACATATGCTCATTGTACAGTGCTGAGTTGCTGGACTAGCTCACTTGAGAGATTTTAAGATACCTTTTATAAATATTTCGATGCATATAATTTGAACTGTGACAAAGAATTTAAATAAAAATTGATGATAAAATTAGGGCCCAACTCATAGCGCTCTTTGGACTTCGGTCACGCATTTCTTGCATGCTATTGGTGGGGAAATGTGCTTTTTCTGCTTATGTTCTGCTTCCCGAAGGTCAAAACAAGGGAGTGTCTGGAGGGGCATTTTTATTTTCTTCAGTAAAGTTAGAATATTTTTAAAAATTAGTAGAACTGGGCATGATTTGAAGACAACATTTAAACCTGAAAAAAATATATGCAACCATATTTTTGTTTTTAGAAATTAAAAATTCATTATTTATATAAGGGAAGGGATGTAAGCTTATACACCAATGTCATATTCTACATACTGTAATCTTCGAGAGCATTACACAAATCTTTTATCAGCTAAAAATTACTACTTTCATTATTTGTTACTTAAATTCATATTGATGTATACTTCATTTGCAATTTTTTTCAATATTTCAAAAGAAATCATTATTACTTCTTGCATTTTTCTTATACTAGAACCAGTATACATTACTTTAATCTAGTATTTTTGAATTATCAAGAGATGATGACATACTTTTAAAAAATTCTAGAGTAATTATAGAGCCTCATGAATGTCAGTGAGTTTGGGGGACTAAATCCCCTGCAAGAATTTAGCAAGTTGTTGTGATGAGCATTCCTTTACACTTAGTGATATCTCTTCCTGCTGGGAATGTTTGAGGACACCTTATCTGAAATGTATTTTCTAGACTTTAGAATTCACAGGGGGACAAGAGCCTCCTACTTAGTTTCAGTTCTTTTATACTTCAGGCTGTCTTCAGCAACACGGCTGTATGTACTTCATGTGCTACATGTGAGAATATATGCTTTTTGCTCTGAGGCTACTGTTTTTGTAGATGTGCTGCTGATTTTTATAACACAGTATTAATTTTCACATATTTTTTCTGCACTAACTACATAATGCATCATGTAGGATATTTATGCTTTCCTTATGCATTCCCAGCTTGGTGCCAGCTTCATCCTTCCTTCATGTCTCTTCATTTTTTTGTGTATCACGTAAACCTTGAACAAAACGTGGGAAAAAATCTGCAGAAAAAGTGCAATCTGACGATATACTTAAATGTTAATGAATTGGGCCCTTGTTTTGTAATACAGTCTGCCTGAGCTCATATATAATTACTGGCTTTTACATCTTATTTCACTCATCATTATACAAAGAGCATCTGTTTTATGTTTTTATTAATCAATATTTATTATTTAACACAAATTTTGTAGTTTTCTTTTTAAGATGTAGTAAATAAACCTTTGGTGAGGTATCTGGGGATTGATAATGAATAGTTGTGTATTTTTGTGATGTTACTGAAATAATACTGTTTTGTCTTATTAAAGATGCAATAATAATTCTTTTTTAATAATTAAACTAATTTAGTAAGTGCAAGATGGAGGCGCTTTCCTACAGATTATGCTTCCACCTCAGAAGATGAATTCGGATCAAACCGTAATTCCCCTAAACATACCCGTCTACGTACCTCTCCAGCCCTGAAAACCACGCGACTGCAGAGCACTGGGACAGCAGCTCAAAGTAGCAATACATTCAAGCACAGAATAAAGGAGCAGGAGGACTACATTCGGGACTGGACTGCTCACCGAGAAGAAATAGCAAGGTTGGTTATAAAGGAGTGCCTCTAGAATAACAAAGATTTCTACCCAACCAGTTATATAGTTACATATGTAGGAGAAAGAGAGCTGATGGATTTTCTGTATCACTCTACTTACCACTTTAGTTTACTAACTGAATGGGTAATTTAAAGTTGTTCTTCTGAAAGGCTTAGAGACAAAACACTCATGTTACCAGCACATCTCTTTCTAATGGAAAATGATAGTAATTTCTGACTTACGGTAGCCAGATTCTAGAATGTGAACTACTTGGTTCCATTAGTGGGACTTGCAGATGTACTTTGTGTAGAACTCGTATTTCCTAATGGTATATTTTCTGAGGCTGAAGTATATCTGATTTGGTACTACCTTTACATTCATATCGAGGTAAAATTTCCGATGAATGCATAGGTGACAGAGAAAGAAAAAGTGATTTTAGCAATGTGAGAGACCATGTTCTCATTTTAATTTTTTGTTTATCTAGACATTATTTCAGATTAGGTATTTTCTGATTTAAATCGTATGTATTCATCAAAAAGTAATTTATTTTGTTGTGAGTTCCTGAGATTAGTATAGCAATTCCTCCATGATTGCTAACAGCGCTCGGCTTCAAGTGAACCAAGGAAAATGGTAGTCAGTTCTATGTTCTGTAACCAATTATTCCAATATTATGCAATATATGGTGAAAGTTAAAACTTCAAATAGCTTGCACTAAATAAATAAAACTACCTAAGTATATAAATGTTATTTAAAACTTAGATAGCAGTTTTCAGTTCTCAACTTTTTCACCGAACTTAATTTGGAAACCTGAATAAGAAAAGTGTTTTCCTTTTAAAATTGGTCTTAGCACTGCGGTCTCACAGATGTGTGAAGAGTGGTGTTTTGCTTAGTGTGATTAATTTTGTTTTGTTTTCTTTTCTTGGTAATATTTTTCAACATTTGTTTTTCTGTGTGGTCTGTGCAAAGGAAAAATTCTTAAGGGAGTCTGATAGCATTTTGATAAATCATGAAATAAACATATTCTAAGGCAGCTTTGTAAAACACCTTTCTTTACAAGAATCTCAAGTTAGAGATAAATATAGGAAGGAATGTGTGTATATGGGGAAAAAAATTGAGGATAGCCAGAGCATATCGGTTTCTCCTTATAAAATGCTGCTGTTTCTTCAGTGAAACTTCTTGGTACATTTTGCACATCTAGGCGAGATTGACACTGAAAGTAATTGATGATTCAGTCTAAACTTATTTGTTGGTTAGGTTTGTGGGTTTTTTTCTTCCCTTGGGCTTCTCACAATTTCCTTTAGTTAGGTACTGGTTTTAAATTTCTTTTGAAGGCTGTGTGCTTGTCCTAGCTTTTTCAGCTTCTTTATTTCTAGTGGAAGTGGTGAGAGGCTCAAATCAGTATTGCCAAATTTGTGACAGTGTATAGAAATTTAACACAGACTTCCTTAAATTAGGATATTTAAGGTTAAGAAAGCTAGCACTCAACAGTTGAGAAATGCCAGACTATTGTCATCTGTTTTCACTGCTTCCAACACCAGTTTTCTTGGTTAGCCTCTGCTGAGCCCCCCTGCTCTGGGTCACCAGTTGATCTTTTCTGTGCCTCCGTTATCTCTTCATACTGATTCACAGCATTGCTCCCCTGGCTTTGAGTTTAACTTCTGTCCTTCATAAGATAACTTTTGCCTCTGCTGCCTTTGCATTGCTAACCATAATCTCCTCTCTATCATTGTCTGTCCTGGTCTTTTTTTCGTGCACAGCCCTCATTCCAGCCTCTTTGATCAGAGTCCCTTCAACTCTGTTTAGAGTTTTTAAAAAAGGAAAAGTTAGTTATACGATCTCATTAAAATTAGTTGATTTCATTTTTTTGTTGAATGACTGATTAGATTAGGCAGGTGTAAAGGTGTTTTGTAAAATAAACGTGCAGCTGAAAGTAGTGCGGAGACTGTATGACAAACGTGTCATTGCATCCATATTGCCATTGATTTGTATTTTAACTGGTCTTCCAAAATTGACCCAGTTTGCACTTTTCACAGACTGTACAATTTACAGATGCTAAAAAAATAGAAAATTAGAAAAAGTTTAAAGAAAAACTTGATGGAATAACTAAATTTGATCTAAACCCACTTTGGCTTGAAGGGAATCTACACCCTCAGAATAACAGGAGCTTCACATATATTTTATTTAAGAGTGTAAAGTATCATTACAAAATAAACTGACTCAGTGTAGGAAGTGTGACATAGTAGACTAAGCATAAAAATGGTTTTGGTAATCCAGCAGTTCAGAAATATTACCAATATCTTGGAAGTATTCCTATTTTGTTATGTTATTTCTAATACTATGGATATTCTTTCACTGCAGGTAGATAAGAACTAGCGTTCCAGTTTGTTGAAAAAAATGATCATGCTCTCCCCATCCCAAGCCCACTGTTCCTGCCTTTTCCCTTGCGTTGAAAACTGTGTCTGTCCCTTATGTAACTCTGTAGCTGCAGGAGTCTGCTCACTGAGGGAATCTGATAGCAACATTTCCTGGAGAGGGTTGGGGTGGTTTGGGAATTTGAGATATATTTTGGTTTTGCCTCCCTGGATTGATTTGTCTTGTATGGTTGCTAAGTCTGATGCAAGAAGCAGTAGATCTTCAAGGCAGCCTACAGTTGCACCAGAGTAAATACTGTTATACCTAAAGCCTAAGTCTATTGTCCTTGATTATACAAAACACACTCCTTATATTTAAGCAGTACTTCATGTTTCTAAAAGTTAGTGTAGAATGACTTGAAAACTTCATTTATGAAGAGTCAGGCTCATCTCTCAGCTAGTTTTTAAATTTTCTTTTTTAATAATGTTTTTTATAGTGCTCTATCTATATTGTTTCTATCCAGAAACATTCAATACTGACTATAGCTCACTATCGTATTGAAACTAATTCCAGATTTTGTTCACTCGACTAGTGTTTGACTATGATGATTGTCTAACAAGTTGCTTGCCATCCATGTTGGAGTTGTTTATTATGATATTTTCAGGATTCATTTGAATTCAGTTTTATGTAGACATCTTGACATTTTATGTAATTTTGATTGCTTGGTAAGAACTCCGTTGAAGTGTCTGTGGCGTGTTGAAGCACTGCTGATTTCTGTGGAGAGTTAAGTCGTAGTTGATTGATACTACTTTTGATGATGGTGTTTAATGACATTTGTCTTCTGGAGGATTTACTGATAATCGAAATTTCCTGCTTCTTATTTTCTTTACAACTATTAATTAATTACAGAAAATTGTTGCAGAAATTCAAGCATGCTTATTAGCAACTTCTCTGTTTAAGAAAAAAGTGATGTGGTTGTGTGAAACCAAGTAGGTGCTCTAGTATCTCTACTACTTAGAATATTAGCTCAAACCTTGGAGTTCTAATGGTATGTATATAGAAGAACACAAAATATAAATTAAAATTGATCTAAAAATGTAGTAATTAGGTTAAATTAATTAATGTAGTAGTAGGCACTTCCCATATTTTTAGCTTATTAAAATGAGCAATTGACTTTTTTTCTGCTTTAGTGTTCCAGTCTTTGATAGTTGGAATTCAAAAATACTGAGTGGCCACAGGTAATTGCCCCATATTCTTCTACAACCTTGTCCCAATTGTATGTCTATCTATGCTTCACAAGGTTGCACTTTGTTGTGGGTTGCTGATAGTTAGCCACAAAATCCATTGTTGGAATTTGACTGGAAATCTCTCTAATTAGTTTGCCTTTCTAGTTTAGATTCTGCTCTCTTAGTCTTAACCTACCTCTAGGTTAGTAGTGTCCATTCTTTTTCACTTGAAGACATAATGAAAATAAAGAGCAGAAAGCAGCTCACCTTTGTCAAAGACTAGCCGGCATGGTATGCATCACTGTCACATTGCTGTGCAACTCCTTCCACTGAAGTGGTGGGTGCTGCTGTTCACAGAGTCCTTGGTGGTGCAGAATTAGCACTGTTGGCTTCTGTGCCTTCACTCCTCTTAGACAGAAGAAGCATGAAAGGGGATCACTTGGTGGGCTGCTCTGAATTCTAGGTCTTCTGAACTGCTTGATCCAAGCTGGAGATTCAGGGTGCCGTATTAGTAGGGGGCTTTTAGCTTTCTCCCTGTGCTGAGCAGAATACAGAGCAGAGCTATTTTGTGATGTGGTGGATCAGAAGAAAGGAAAAGCAATCTTCAGCTGAGAAGTCAGGTGTATTTGTGTAGTGCTATCATATCCAGGTTTTACAGGCATGTTTTGTTTTTCCAACTAGAAAGCGTGTCTTGTTTAAATTTGAGGATTTAGGATGCATGAGCACCTTGATCTGAACAAGCTGCAGGGCTGCTGGGTAGTCACAGGTCCTGAAGAAGTTCTTTGCAAGTAGGTAAACTGAGGTATAAATTAAATGTGTGTGGGACATTCCAGATTTATTGCACGTACACACATCATCTGTGCAGTATTTTCAGCATATTTCCAGTACTTCCTATGTGTGTATGTTGCACACATCGCTGCTTGGGAATCCTAGAAAGAAAACAAGGATACTCTGTCTTTTGAGATTGCCTTCTGCCTTCTTTCTCTAGAAAGGCATGTTTTTAAAAGCTTCTATTAAAAAATTATTTTTATGGTTCTACAAATAAACTTGCAGTTTAGAAGGGTGTACACATTTTCATAGCACAGTTCTCAGGAGCTAGTTCTCAGGAGCTAGAACTTAGAAGCTCAAAGGCAGGTCCAGAAGTATTTGTAGGGGAGAATGTAACACTGTCTTTATTACTAGGATCAGTCAAGATCTGGCTCTCATCGCACGGGAAATCAACGATGTAGCAGGAGAGATAGATTCAGTGACTTCATCAGGCACTGCCCCCAGTACCACAGTAAGCACTGCTGCCACCACCCCTGGCTCTGCCATAGACACTAGAGAAGAGGTAGGAGATCTTCATGGAGAAATGCATAAGGTTCTTCCTTTTCTTTATTTCTTTTGCTTTTAGCATTTTGCATAGCCTTTTTTAGTTATTTCTCCTCAACCCGTATGCATGATCTCTACATTGCTTTTTGATTTAAAGTTCCTTTACATTTCCACAAACAACCCAGAAATTATCGTATGAACACAGCTTGTTGAAAGCTATCTGTCTGTCTCTTTTTTTCCACGAAACATAGGTTAAGATAGTTATTTATTTCTTGCTTGTCTGTAGCCTTAGATACTGTTGGATAGTATCTAAGTGCATTTAAAGATATTAGTGTATATGCACAAATATATATAAATGTATATATTTAATACTTTGCATAGCTATTAAAACCAAAAAAGTCCCTCTTTTCACAGGTGACATAAAAGTTTCATCTTCTGAATACTGAAATACTTAGGTACCATCAGTTAATAACTTTAGATTTTCTTTCTTAATAACATTGTCAAAAACTGCCTTGAAATAAGTTTGCCTTGTGCTTCTAATAATTCTTATTTTCTTTGGCTACCTCTGGTGTGCTGTTCTAGGAATATATTGACTAACTTGTTCTAGTAACCATCACAGGCCTAATGCTGGTAAAGATGTTAATCTGAATTTAAATCATCACTTTCTACCATATTACAACTCACCCTAATATGTTGTAAATGTTTACTGCATTTTTTTTCTTCATAGTATTCCTTTCAAAATGTGTTTATTCATTTTTGTGTGCATAAAGTTTGGTTGATACGTTAGTTTACTGTGTTTAGTATAATACTGTCTTTTTCTGTGGAAAAAAAGATAACAGTGATAAGAAATCTGTGAGTTGGGTACTCAGAAAAATTATAACTGCACTCACAGAATTTGGTATTAATTCTCATGGACTTATAGCTAAACTTTAAGGAAGTAAAGTGCTCATATTCTCAGATCCAGTTAGATCACTCTTGATTTTTATATTACTAATGGTTATTTTCTTCCTTAAAATATATTGTACAGTATGTATATACTGCAGGTGGCAGTATCTCCTTTAAGTAGGTATAGGTGTTTCTGTAACACTATGACTACTCTTGAAAAAAAAAAAAATGAATTTCATAGTACTGTACTTAATTCCACTATTATATTCAGCTAATCAAATGAATAAATTATTCAATACCAGTTTGTAGGTAACTATTATGTTAGCTGCCCGTAAGCAAAATTTCTGTGGGGTAGTCTAGTTTTGGCATGTATGTCTGTCATTTGAAAAAAAAAAAAAAGTTCATTTTTACAAGGTATTTTTACATAAGAGTTGCATCATTTTATACTATACAAGACAACAGAATTATGTTTATTTGGTAGGCTTTTTATGGACTGTTTCAGAAGAAAAAGAATATTAATCTGATTTTTGCATGTATCCAGGAAGTTTCCTAAACTGCATTTTTCTTCTACCCTCTAGCTGGTTGACCGAGTATTTGACGAAAGTCTCAATTTTAGAAAAATCCCTCCACTAGTGCATTCCAAACCACCAGAGGGGAATGGTCGGCCTAATGATACTAGACCTCAGCTAACAGATGCCCTCGATCCCCCAACAATTACCCGGAGAAGGACTTGGAGCAGAGATGAAGTGAGTACAGCAGAGAATTCTCTCTAGTAATGTGTCTTTTTTAAGCTTTTGCAATTGTCTCCCCACTTAATATTCTAGACATTATACTTTCTTTCCTACCTGTAGCAGGTGGCGTTGATACTGGAAAAATTATTTATGTATTATTTAATATGCAAGTCAAAATATATGGAATTGTTTTTATTTAACTCCCATTAAACTAATAATATCCTTTCTTATAAAAAATTACTGCAGGTTATGGGGGACAGTTTGCTGTTGTCCTCAGTCTTCCAATTTTCTCGCAAGATAAGACAATCCATAGACAAAACAGCTGGCAAAATCAGGTGGGCTTTTTAAAATTATTGTTATTACTGAAAATGTTCTGCTCTCATCAACATTGTACTTCTACTAGTAGAAGAGATATGTATAATACAGATGGAGAAAATGTATTTAGTAGCAACTCGTGTTCTAAAAAAGCAATGTTACCTGTGGCTTTTTTAGCTTTCAGAAAGATGTGGGATGAATAATTTTTCTATTATTGCTTGTGTGTATTTCACTTTACATGAAAAAAAATACCAGGGAAGTGTACTTGGACAGAGGGATACCCATCATACAGATGGGTACAGCAGAAGAGCTGTTCCAACGCGTGCAGATGCTGTGCAAAATCTATGTGACCTCTGTGCAAGTCTTGTAAAACTCCCTTCCTTAAAAGATAAGGTTAAAATGTTGCTGAACTGTAAAACCAGGCCCTGTACGTTTGCCAAGTTGTAAGGATCATCCATTTTAGGAAGAAAAGCAAATGGGATGGGGGAGAGCAGTTTTAGTAAATCCTTCTGAAAAAGAACTTGCTCTAGAAACAATGTGGTCACTATTGAGTTCTAAATCTAAAATAACAGATGTGTAACCATCTGTTATTTTTCATTGAAAATTCCTGTTTAGATAGTTAGATTCCTGCATAAAATGTCATAGTATCTAAAATAGGAAGTATAGACATGTCAAGAATGATAACATGTTGCTCTACCAACAGCTCCATTTAGCTTGAATGAGTGAGTGTACAACCATTTGGTGACTGCTTTAACAAGAATAAATGAAAATTCTGTATATAAAATTCCGGGTTGTATAATTCACATGTCCTTCATGTCTGTGTGCAGTTAATCATTTAAAAATAGAGTACATTAAAAATAAGACAATAATTTGGCTGAACTTCATGTATAATTTTCTGAATGTGAGAAAATATTAGGTCTGTAATTGATCAGTTTGTCTAGGAAGTGTCAGATGTTGAAATCTTAGATGGGTGATAGATTAATCACCAAATCATAAATTTATTTCAGCATAGGGTGATGTAAATAGTAAAAACAGCAAAATAATAACATATCTGAGAATTGTATTCTCATGGGAGTACCAAAAAGGACTTGACCATAGAAATCAAGAAAAAAAACCCTATATAAATCGGTAAAAACTGAAGGTTATCTGCCATTTCTAGTCCTGCTGTTTCTAATAGGAGGAGTACCACTGAGTAAAGACTGAATCAAGCCTTTAAAAGCCTGCAGCCCATTCTTATTTCTGTTCTAAAGTCTTTTGTGTATTGTTTTTACTAGTGGTTAAAAGGTAACATAGTGAGTACTCTATTTCTGCTATCTTGGAACATGTTAATGGACTGACATTCATCTCGCTTCTTTTTCCAACTCACCATTTTGGGGCTTCAGGATTATAATATTGGAAATACCCTATTTGCTGCCTTTCCCTCTTTGTTTTTTTCCCAGATAGATTCTTTTACGTATCATACTGTTTATTCACATATCTGTAAACAAAAGACATAAATGTCTTTTGCTATGTAAATTTCAGATGCAAATGAGTTTGTGAAATGTGGGTGTACAATATGGTTATCTCAAAAGCTGTTCCAAATTAACAGAGTTCAACTTCATTATACAAAATTTATTATCAATTATTGAAAAGTTCACAACTTCTTCAAGTTTAATCAGCCTCTGAGTGCATGTTATCGTTTAATAGCTGATCTCAAAAAATGAGCAAATATATGCAAATTGCCCAGGGAAGCTGTGGGTGCCCCATCCCTGGAGGTGTTCAAGGCCAGGCTGGATGAGGCTTTGAGCAACCTGGGCTAGTGGGAGGTGTCCCTGCCTGTGGCGGGGGGGTTGGAACTTAATGGTCTTTAAGGTCCCTTCCAATCCAAACCATTCTGTGGTTCTATGAAAGAGGTACCTAAGCGTGACCATTATTTGAAAGTCATTCTAGAAGGTCACTTGCAGAAGTGGTGGTCATTTGCCTTAGTCCCATAACATTATGTCATGAGAGTTTCACCTCCTCGCAGTGAAACATCTGGCAAAAACATGTTCTGAAGCAGCAGTGAGTGAAGACCTCTAAGACAGAAGAATTAAAGCAGCTTCTGGATGGGCTGTCTACGGATGTCTATGTCTGATAAGATAAGGCAGGGTACACGTTTTGAAAGACTAGACTTTCTTGACAGGATAATAGTAGAGAGTGAGATTTTCTGTAGGGTATCAATAACTGAAGAAAGATTAACAGAAATGCGGTACGAACTCTCCCAGCTTTCTTTCAGATTCTTGAGATGCAAGGTATCATTAATTTCCACCTTAAAAATTTTCTCAGAGACCTACCGACAGGAGTAAGTTCTTTAAAGTGTACTACTTTTTGGTCATGATTTTAAATTGGTTTGTCTGTTTGCTTAGCAGTTTTACTGCAGCTATTTTTGTAATTTTAACTCTGAAATAGCAGTTAGAGAAGAAGTGGATTTGGACTTATCTATGTCATCATGGTGTCACTTAAAACAAAAAAAAATAATTCCCAGACCTTAAATATCCACACATTCCTTTTTTTTTTCCAATTGTGCAAACATAGACAGTTTAAATTATGCTTATAATATGACAATGAAACAAAAAATTATTTATCACAACAGGGAAGAAAAAACTTTAAAAATTAAGAATCGCACAGTATGCTTTGGGTTTTTGCAGATAGTAGAAGTGACTTCTTTAAAGTTAATTTGTCTATTGTGTTTTGTAATTGTTGTAAAATGCAGTTTTGGTAGGGAATTCTCTGACTTCTATAAAATTGCTGGTTTTTTTTTTTTTTTTAAAAGTCTCAGTGCTGGAGGAAAGAATCAGCTGTGTCTTTTGAACACCATAAGCAGCAAGTACTTAGCTATAGAACAGCCATTGTAATGTCAATAATAATGATATTGCTGAAACCCTGTAGGCTTCCCTGAAAATTTAAACTGTATGGTACGATTCTGTCAGTTTTCAATATTTCAGATTTTAGTTTTATTCATTGCTCCCTATGCTGCTATCTCATATTATATATCCAATTCTTCAGTTTTGGTTTATTTTTGTCTGTTTTAAACATACTGTTCCTGAATTTCTTTCTTCTAGAATATTATTTAAGGACAAAGACAGAAATTGGGAAGAAATTGAAAACAAGTTACGAGCTGAAAGTGAAGTTCCTATTGTGAAAACATCAAGCATGGTATGAATAGTTATCTTTTCTGGCATTGAATGAACCTCTTATGTAATTTCTAAATAATCAGTAGAGGAATGTGTTATTTTCAATGATACAAAGGCAAAAATCTTTTAAAGGTTTGATTTAGATACTCAATATATTTCAAGAATAAACCTAATATTTTTAAATAATTACTAAGACTTGCTATATTATATAGAAACAGTCTTAAGTAATTGTTCAGGGGAAATTCTCAGATAAAGAATGCAGTAAAAGGGGTACAAACTGTATATAGACCATCAGTACTTTTGTTTAAGAAAAGGTAACAACTGTTAGTTTGAATGTTGGATTGCTTTCAAATGAATTTTACAATCTAAAAACTACTTTGCCTACTGATTATTAATACTTGATTTTTGTATATAGTACTTAATACTATTAATACTGATTATTACTAATTTAGAGAAATAATTATATTTTTGCTATATGTGAGTGAAAATAACCTGTAGACATGTTGCAATAAAAGCACTCTTCAATGAAAAAATCATGTTGATTTTGTGTGGAAGTGGCTAGCACTTTCTCATCCTGAGTTACTAAACTCATCCAGATTGATTTTTCCTGAAACTGTTAAAAACTTGACCTATGATTTCTGCAGAATGGTATACTTTTAAAAGCAATCATTAGTAATTCAGTGTTATAATTTAATAAGTACACTGACAGTTTTGGGGGGGAGGGTTAAAGTTTATTTTAAGCAAGTCACTCATAGAAGTTTCTAATTTTAGAAATATAATAATATAAAGAGTTCTCTTATCCTATCCATTTCCAGAATAAGATTGGAGTTTAGTGTTTTACATTCTAAATGCCATGAATGTGTGGGTTTAAGGCATTCATTAAAAAAGAAAAAGATGAGTTGTATATTTATTCCCAAGTTCAGCATTTTACAAAATATTTTTTGAATACACTAAAGCATCTCACATTGTTTGAAAATGTATGGGGGCTTTTTTTTGTCTATGCACTGATTTTCAAGTTTCTGCTCAGTTTTCAGTGGAATCAATTGTTCAAATGTAGTACCAAAGCAGTGCTTATTTTTACCACAGAATGTTATTAAAATTAACAGGACAGTTGTAGCTGGTGCTTGATTTGTCCTTGGAACATTTATGTCCAGCTCAGATGTGGAATCTGCTTAAAGATAATGACTTTGTAAAATCCAGGGTAGTCAGTCTCTTTGCCACCCACAAAAATCACGTCACTTAGTACAGAATGGGTTTGTGAAATGGGTTTCTGAGATCAGTTCCTTTGAAAATTCTCAGCTTTTGAAGACCACTGATAGCTCTCCTCAGCAGCTGGATTAACAGTATTCTTCAGTGTAGGATTCTTCAGTTGTGGGATTTACATATTTATAATTTAAAATGTGGTACATTTAATGATTGTTGTGTTTCTGAGTGTGTTGCTGTGGCTATGTCTGTGTTAGCAAGTAGTGCAGCATAAGAGGAGAAAAATCTGTAAGGCAAATGAGTGCTGAGGACCCAGTACTGGTGTGCTGTACAGGGCCCAGCGGTTGCAGACAAAATCCCAATGCAGTCATCCTAATGTTGTGACTCACATCTGAGCAAGATCAAAAAGCACGCTATTCCATTAATACTGAGTTTATACTGTAACTTTCCTCTAAAGGTTTGCTGCTACTTTGCCCCATTTCTACAGAACCGTGGCGTCTGTAAATCTGTGATTGTGAAGAAGCAGCGCAGGCAGATGAGCAAGGCAGATGAGTTGGGGTTTCGGTCACCCTAGCAATCAGCCAGTGCAGAGGAGCTCTTGATTTCTGAGTGGGCTGTGGCCATCCAGCCTCAAGCACTGCTGTCCAGAACACATGGTGGACATGGCTGGGCCACAACCAGCAAGGGTGTTCTTGGTGCCAGGGAGGACAACCCAAATAGCATATTGCAAAGGTTGGGAAGGGGGATTGTTTACTACTGGCAGGTAGTTTGAGTCTTTTCTTTCCTTAATGAAACATGTTTGTTTCTTTCCTAGGAAATATCATCAATCTTACAGGAACTGAAACGAGTTGAGAAACAGCTGCAAGGTACAAATCTTTTTTTCACTTTTCTCTTTCATTGTTGCTTGCTTTACGTTTTTAACATATGTATATATGTATATAATGAAACAAAGTTATCACATTTTATTAAAATATATTCACAGTATCAGTTATGTACACTAATATGTAATTGCTGGCATATTTGGTAAAGAAGCATCACTGAATTATTTTAAAACAAAAGTGATTATATCCTCTTATATGGATAAGAAAAGGCTCAACTGAAAATTAAATAGTCCGGAGAATCCCAAAGGAATTATTTATGAAACATTTCTTAAAAATATTTTTTGTGGGTAAATACTGAAGAGTAGGTGATAGAGAATCCTGAAATTAGGATTTATAAAATAGTCTTTGCACATCAGTAGTACCCTCATGTGTAACACAATTCAGTATAAGGAATGCATTGAGACCATAATCTATAGAAATTCTCAAAGAAAAAAAAAAAAAAAAAAAAAAAACCAAACCTTTACCTGATACAATAAAAGGAAAATTTAGGATTAGCTCTTGACATCTTCCCTTCACACTACTGAATCCACTCTTTGTAATTGTGGAGCCCACAGACTACAAAATAGAAAAGTTACTTTGCTTTTCACATGCAATGACTTATCTATATACAAAATGGAAAGAAGTATGTTGCACTTACAGAGTCTGCTGTTTAGACGTCTATTCTGTTCATAAAAATCAACTTAAAACCTGAGTATATTTTAAAAAGAAGTTTCAGTCTTATTTGTGTATTGTTTATACTTAGTTTATTGCTTAATTTTGAGTGGCCAAATGGATTGGTGATCCATGCTAATATATATAATCATTACTGTATTTGTTGTAAATTTCCTGTATTTCTTATTTTTATTATTCAGATTTAATCCTAAAATAAAATATGTTTAAAAAAAGAATGTTTCAGGAGGAATTGCTAGCCACCTCTAAAGACAAATTAATATTTTTTTCATGCTCAGCTATAATTAAAAATGCTAATTTATTACAAATTATGTTGTGTTTAGAGAACATAACAAAGAAATAAGGCCCAGAGAAAGAGGCCAGATCATTTCCTTGTGTACGCAGTGGTGTTCGAATAAATGTTAGTACAGTTTTGGAAATAAAAAAGAGAGGTTCTGTTAAATGTGACAAATGTGTTAATAGTACAATAAGATGAAATTGTACTAGGTGATTCAGTTTGCCCTCACTGTGTCAAGGGAGAGGGATAATAAGTCCATCATTTATGCATTAAAAAGGATAAATGTTTGCTCTTTTATACAAGTTTCATTCAGTCGTAGAATTAGCAGCTGTGGATATTTGGGGCAGGATGGGGTGGAATGAAGCATAATATAATGGTAACATTACAGAAAAAGCCCCTTAAACATGGCTAACAATTCCATCTTTCAGTCTCTGTAAGCTAATCATAGACGGTTTGTCATCTCTCCTATCCACCCATCAGGCAGTGTTTAGTTTTTGCAGTTTCATTTCATCTAAAGTTTTAATTTATTATATGCTTTTAAATAAGTGTCAGCTACATGTATGTTGGATACACCACTCCTTTGTAATGCACGACACGCATAAAAGCTCATGTCTGTCATAAAAAATAGAACTGTTAGAACAGAAATTTCTTATTTTTTATGGTTTCTTCTCTATCCCTTTCACCTTTTCTTGATTGCTCAGCAATTAATGCTATGATCGACCCTGATGGTACCCTGGATGCTCTGAGCAACTTGGGATTTGCCAGCCCCCTCTTACCGGCTCAGCCGAAGCCAAAGTCCAGTCCTGGTTCTCAAAGTACCCGCCCTCAAGTGCAGCCAAACTGCCAGCCTGAAGCTCGGGCCTCTCGACCCGCCGCCGTCCCGGTTGCAGATGAATTTCAGAATGCTGAATCTGAGTCAGATTTCAGCATACATTTCAACAGGTTTAACCCAGATGGGGAAGAGGAAGATGCCACCCTGCATGAGTGACATCTCAGTGTTGATACAAAAGCCGTTCATGTGGAATGTTTAGGAATAAAGGAAAAATTATAATGTTGGTTTTATAATTTTTTTTTTAAAGGCTTGGTCAAACAGCAGTTGTTTCATTAAACCAGTTTTCTTTAACTGTGATGCTTTGATTGTCACACAAATCCTTTTCAAGTCATAAAGATATGCATAGATACCAGTGTAGGAAAGCAGGTAGTGGCAGGTTTGCCCTTTGTGGTTGTGTGCTTTGCAAAAGAATTATTATATCAGCAGTTTTCCCTTACTAGATTTATTTCTTTTTAAAAGCCATGCAAGCAGTCTAACATTTGATGTTACTGAAACCCCAAATCTCTTTGCCAAGATGCTCTAATTAATGGACTTCCTCCACTAAAGTTTGTACAGAACTCTTGAACAGTTACGTTTGATTCTGAATTAGATTATTTACATAGAAAACATTATCTTTGACTACAATGTCACGTTATTTCAAAAGCTAAGACAGATTTCGGAAAGCATTCATTCTTGTGTACTGAAAATCTCGAACAGTTCTGTGATTTATATAACCTTGTTGCTGCGTAAATTGTCTTGGGGTTTACAAAGTTCACATATTATGTTTGCACTAAGATTTGCTGGGAGTGATAGGTGAACATATCGATATCATTAAACAGCAAGCAGTGTTTTCGGTGTACATAGAAACTGATAATACTGTACTTGTATTATCATTGCAGTGTTTTAATCCACTTTCTGAAAGGACTATTTGGCACTTTTTGATCTTATTCAAATGTCTTTTTGATGTTAATGAAAGTAGAAGTATTTCAATCTCATTTCTGTCCAAATGTTTGTTGAAACTAGGAAACAAATTTAAACATACAGCAGCGTGGGACATCTTAAAGCATATTGAGGCAAATGGGCTTTCACCAATTCAAATGCCACATAAGCTTGTGGAAGAAATTACTGTTCCTTGGAATGATCATGAGATGTAAAATTTTCTTTAGGGGACTTGGAAGTAGAGTTGTCATAATTTGCTTGATCGATAGATGCACTCCCAAGCAAGTGATTTGATTTGCTTCTGTATATTTTCCTGTAGTCTTGCTAGTAAAGCTGTCTCTGTCTTACATGTGTAAAAGGATTCTGGAGGACGACTGCTAACGTAGACATTTTGCTTATACCACTGAAAAGCAAGTCTATTTAAAGTTTCCTGTATAAGCCTATTTTCCTTATAAGTTGTCCCAGTAACTTAACATTTGGAAATAATAATAAAAATAAAAGTAAATTACTTTGTATTTCCAGAACACTGTAATTTGGAGGAATGTTATTTCTGTTAAATGTAACTAATGGACTGGAATTTTCCTATGTTTGCATCAGTCTATATATATTAAGGTTAAAGATACAGTTTTGCAGCTTTTATGAAATGGTCTTTAATATTTCAGCAATAATCCTATATGACATTTGTTTAAAAAAACTACTTTCTGTACACTTTTAAATTGTACAGGCTTTCAGAAGTCAGTAGAAGTTGGACCAGTTAATAAAAATGCAAAAACATTTTTTGTAGAGATGTAAAAACAAAACCACTAATCTGTTGTATAATGGATTTCATATTTTCTTTAAAAAAATTAAAAGCAAACAGCCTTCATGTACGACTCAATATGCTCTACTCCAGCTAACTGTGGAAGCCTGAACTACACTAGTTTATAGAGGCTACAAGAAGAGTTTTAGAAGGTGCAGAAGGGCAAAAATAAATCGAAACTAGAGCTAGGTATTGAAAACCAAGTGTACCAAACCATCACCATAATTCCTTCTTTTGTTTAATGCTTGGGAACATAATTTTTCCACAGACTCGAGTGGAAGTAGGGAATGGCTAGGAAGGATTCAAGATGCAGGCTCTTCATGCAAGTTTCTGTGTTTGTGTTTTTTCAGGCGTTTATACCTTTACGTTCTGTAATAAGCATTTTGCATTACTATGTTCTTATTTTGTAGGAACATGTTCTCCTTATTTATTTTTGTTACATTTATTATGTATGTTATTTTGTTATATGCATTTACAACTCCATTTTTAAATAAAGTGTTTCTGGAATTTTACAAATGCGTGAATATGTAATCAAGAACTGGGAAGTTCACACAGTCTTCCTGCAGCCTACCTTTCCTTTACTGAAAGGTAAAAATGTTTTTTCATAACCATCTTTTCTCTGGAAAAAGTTATATTATTGCTACTGCTGCATCATTTATTCTCTGATGACAGTATTGGCTCGCTTTCCTGTGTTCAGGTTCATTTCCACATTTGAATTGATTTTTGTGTGCAAAGCTAGAGGCAAAAATAATGTAGTCTGCCAGTCACCAAATAGTGACTGTGTTTCTCTTTGTAGAATGGAAGTAAATGAGCTTTAATGCACCTGCCAGGTGCGACAGTAGATGCTTTTTCAGACTGCTTTCCTTCTGCGTCATGCATTGGAAAACTTTATTGAACATTCTGATTTGGCTCCAGACTAGTCCATTTTTTTGTGCTGTCCCAGCTTTCACTCCATACATACTTTCCTGCAGACACTTAATTTCCTTTAGCTTCATGCAAGAACAAAACAGTGAGTTTAGTATAAAGCTCCAAGGTTTACTTCCCAGCTTGTGCATTTCAGCGTTGCCAAGCTTTGCTGTAACTTGGCAGCAGCCAGCTCTCTCTGATCCTGCTTCTGTGCACCTATTTTTCCCTTGTATCCCCAGTCTGATGGCAATAAGGCTGCACTAATGGCACACAGTAACACCCAATAGCGCTCAGCTCTAGGAGGGCAGGAGATTTTTAACTGATGTTCAGAGATGTCAGTTTGGTATAGTCAAAAGCATGAGAAAGTTGGAAGGGCTTTCCAGGTGCTCAGGTCTCTTTCATACTCCTCAACTGCATTGGCTGCTATTGTTTCCTCACTTGGTGCCCGTATCCCTCTGTCTTTGCAGAAGTTAGAGTAATGCACTTCTGGGTTAATATTCTCACATGCAGAGCCCCATTTGTGTAAGCGATAGTATAGTATTTTGTTATTTCTTCCCATGTAATATTTTCATCTATCCACTATACTTTGAGCTAAGATTATGCAGAGATGTTTTTCAGAAGTACCAGCCAGATTGCATCAGTCCTCTGCTTCCTTTTGACATCAGCAAGTGGGGCTGATGTGCAGTAGCATGGAGAAAGCAGAGTTCAAGCCTCATCATCTGATCAGCACTGTTGGTTCCTGCCTTAGCTACATGCACTGTTCTAATTATAAACCCAACAAATAACTTCTAATGACACTCGCATCTAGTTGTGACATACAGAAATAAAGCTAAGAGTATGATTTATGTGCCTGACCTGATAACAGCAAGATGGTGTTTCACTCCAGCATGTAAATTATACTGAAAGCAACTGGTACTTCAGTCTCAGAAGAGAGTGTTGCTTCATACCAAAAACTGAATGTCAGTCAATGCCCATTGGAAGGCTTTTGTAATTTTAACTGGAAAGATCTCAAGCATAGAAAAGATCTACAATTACTGCTTTGACATGCAGCCACGAAATGAATGCATGAAGCATTCTGTGAAATAGTGTGTGCAGTAAAAGGAGGCCCTACACACCGAAGAGATATTATAGCACCACGTCTATTGTGTCTGGAGAGAATAAAAGGAAGAAACTTAGCTGCTCACCATACAAGTTGCTTAGCTTCATCTTGATGAATAGTCAGATTTTTTAAAACGTAAGAATGTCATCTTTGACTTCAAGCAGAGCACATCTGTAAATGCTGACAGGGTTACAGTCCTGGTAGTTCAGCCATGCATGCTGGATACTGAATACATCCAACAACATCTGTCTTGGCAATTTTGCCCAAGGACAGTTGCCTAATGCTAAATAACAGCATTTCCACATGCACTCTCAGTTAACTTGTTTTTGTTTGCAGCTTGGTAAGCTTTACCCAGTGCTGTTCCTGTAAGTGACAGCCAACACTATTCATATATTTCTGGAGGAAAAGATGTAATTAACAAACAAGTGGGGTTATGCAGCCCTAGGTATACTTTAAAGCAGGATGAAGTAACTGGAAGCCTGCTGTCAAAGATCTACTCCAACAAGACCAGAGTTGGCAGTGCTCACTTTGTCTCACTAACAACTTCACGAGCAGTTACTGTTTTGTAAGATGTTAAAACATTCTTACCTCACGTCTGAGGAGAGCTCTTAAAATGGATGGGTATAACAAAATGCCCTCTTTGGGGAGGCTGTATCAAAATAGGAGCTTGTAGTTATTGAATATCCTCATGGGAACACAGCAACATTTTCAAACGTTATGCATAGAAAAATTATTCAAGCACTAGGGCCTTAGAGGTGGAGTGAGGGGATAGAGATCTGTTCATTTCAGGGATAAACCCTGCACCTCCACTTACCAATTAAACTGTGTCCTTGCTAAGTTCTGTTGCTCTAGTCCATCAGCTCCTTAGGGCTAGCATTTTTAGATCTGTTTTAAAAATTAACACACATGTTTATAATTTATAAGGCTTTCTGCTCCTATGGAGCAGCTAAAAGCACTATGAGGACTCTAGAGGTTTTTACGCTATATTCAAAAAATAACGGTTTAACATCAGCATGACTTACCTTTCAAGCAAGCCCAGGTCTTTCTTAACAGAAAAAGATGAATTAATAATAAAGATTTTTAAAAAATGTGCAACATGAGGTTTATAAGTTCCGTATATCTATTCATGCACACATGGATCTGTACGATCAGGGCTGATTTTGTTGAGAGATGAGAGAGATGACTGCAGATAATTCAGGAGATTCTAAGAGTATTAAGAAATTAAATACCTTAATAAAGTTATTGGAGAAAATTGCATAAATGGTATTTCCCAGTATGACAACTGATTAATAAATGAGCAGGCAAATTACCGAGTTCTCAACAGGCATTATTGGATTAGGAGACTCAATAAAGTGCAAAAGGCTAAGCAAACTTTTGTGAAAACTCTAAAAAAAAATCAAATTGTAGATGAACAGACGTAAATGGGGGTAGGGAGGGAATACCAACTCCCAGGACAGGGCTGTTAATTTGAAGCATTTTTAGTGCAAAGGAGAGCTGGGAGACACAGATGGCA